GACAAAGATTAAGTAGGAAAAAGCATATAAGACTACTGGTGTCTTCCCTTCCCGTAGAAGCTTTGATAGTTTATCTGTAGCCAAGCAAGTATAAGGGTAAGATACATTTGTGTGGCATAATTCAGATCATGTTAAAATCACTCAGGGTCACATGGGGTGCAGTAAGATCTCAAAGATAGAGATCAGACACTAAAGCAAATGTGAATTTCCAAGGAATCCTGCATTATCATCACAGCCCTAGCATTGAATTAAGGCCAGAGAGTAGAGACAGATTTTAAATTACCTAGTTATTCTAGGCATGATGTAATGTCCCTCATACTGCCTACCCCTAAGAAGCTTGAAAGTAAGAAAATGTGGATAGCAAGATTGTAATTGTGAAACCACAGAAAATCTCCAGTAGGAAAAGGCATAGTGATCCAGTGGTCTAGTGGATAAATCATCAGCCTGGGGAGCTAGCAATACCGCCATCAGTCCCAGATTCACACAGAGATCAGTTTTCTGGGTATGGTGGCGCATGCATTTAAACCCAGAACTTGGGAGGCAGAGACAGAATCTCTGAGTGAGTTCCAGAATAGCCAGGGCTACATAGTAAAACTCTATCTCAAAAACAAAAACAAAACAGAAACAAAAAAGGGCCTGGAGAGATGGCTCAGTAGTTAAGAGCACTGGCTGCTCTTCCAGAGGACCTGGGTTCAATTCCCAGCACCCACATGGCAGCTCATACCTGCCTGTAACTCCAGGTCCAGGAGAACCGACACCCTCACACAGACATGTGTGCAGGCAAAACCCCCATGAAGATAAAAATAAATTAAAAAAAAAAAAAAAGAAAAATGAGGCTGGAGCGATGGTTCAGCAGTTAAGAGCACTGACTACTTTTCCAGAGGACCTGAGTTCAAGTCTCAGCACCCACATGGCAGCTCACAACTGTCTGTAATTCCAGTTCTAGAGGACCTGACACCTTCACACAGACATACATCTAGTCAAAACACCCGTGTACGTGAAATAAAAATAAATGTAAAGAAAAGTAAAGACACCCACATGCTAATCCTTGTGCTGCTAACTTTTTATCTTTGCTAATGTAATACTTCTTTGTTACTAGAAAAATTGATTGTGGAGGCAATAAAACTCAAAGCATTTTTATATGTAATAAACCCTATTTAATCTATGTGTGTACAGTTGCTAGCCTTACGTCTCACAGTGCAACACAGACCTTAGACAAATTGTCTACGTGCAATATGTCTTGACATGCTGGCCTTAATAATTCTCTTGTCTTTCCTACATTCATTAGACTTTTTCCCGAGATACCTGGCAATCACTATCCGTCTGAAACCTGCCAAAGGCTGTAGCTTAGCAAAGGGGATTTGCATCTTTATAGTAATCGGTGCCATATAATCTATAGTCACAACTGCTGACAAGCAAGCTTTGAAACATCTGGGAGGCATGAGACCTAATGGCACCCCAAAATCAAACTTTGTACACTGAGACCCCGGATCAGTGATGTTCTTCTGTCTCACAGATGACACCAGAGCTGTGCCAGCTTGTCAACCAGAGGCAGGGACGTAAATAGAAGATGCAAGCATTCTTTTTTAATTAAGAAATTAGTGTGTGTGTTCTGGAGCACGTGGGTGTTTGGGTGTCTGCAAAGGTCAGAAGAAGACATTGACAGAGGGCACTGAATCCCATGCAGCCAGACTTGCAGGCAATTATAAGCCACCCAATGTAGATGCCAGGACCAAACTAGGATCCACTGTGAGAGCAGTATTACCTGCTGAGCCCTGCAAACCTTCTTTTTCAAGAGACACATGGAAATTAATCTAAAGAGCAGTCACTGCCCAAGCAACTAAGACGATCTGGGGAGAGGAAGACATCACAGAGGAATCAGAGTAGAAGTTTTCGCCCTCTGCTCTCTGTCTAACCAGGTCTTATTCTGAAGACACTGCACTGCTCCAAAATACCATTTAAGTGGTTGTGGCCAGGAGGACCCAACCTTGGCTGGGCACCTACAATCTGTATTTTTGCAGCTGATTGTTCCTAAGGTAATTGGCATCAATAAGTACATATTTATAGTCGAGAAAGTGCCAATCCATTTGCTACATGTAACCATTTAAATTTGAAGTGACCCAGGCTTTGTGCCATAGGTGGTAAATCCTGGCACTGGGAAGGCAGAAGCAGGTAAGTGAACCTCTGAGTTTGAGACTAGAGGCTAGCCAGGGCTACACAATGAAACCCTGTCTCAAAGAAAGAAAGAAAAAAAAGTAGTTATTTGGAGCCTGGAGAGAAGGCTGCTAATAGCACTGACTTTTCCAAGAGGACCTGGGTTCAACACTCAGCCCCTACATGGGGCCTCACAATCATCTGTAAGTCCAGTTCTAGAGGACCAGCTGCCCTCTCCTAGGGCCTCTGGGGGCACCAGGCACACACATGGCGCACTGACACACGTGTAGGCAAAGCACACCCACACAGATTAAATAGATAAATCTGAAGTTACCAGGCTGGGGTACACAGTTCAGTTGGTACAGCGCTTGCCTGCCATGCACAAGGACCTTAGGCTCAATCATCAGTACTATACGCAAATTTGCACTGACTAATGAGTTCCCTGGTCACACAGGCTGTATATCAAGGGCTTAGTGGCTTTCAAGGCTCTTGGGCACCTGTGTTCCACAGAAAAGATATTACAGCAATACTTTCTACTTAACTTTAGTCACAGAGAAGGGTGTCTGTTCATACATGCTTGCCTCTCTCCTCTTGGGCTAGGGCATGGCTTTTCCTGGAAGGCTTATGTCCCATAGCCCACAGAATCGAACTCCCTGCTCCTTGTCACCACCTAGAGCTTACTCAAGTGCAAACAAGAATGAAAGCAAAAACAAACCCAACAAACAGAACTGGCTGGAATTTAAAGAGGAATGAGTTTGCTGCTGAGTCACGAACAGACCGAAGGACGGTAGGTTCTCCACATACCGGTCAACACCCTTGCAGGGGGGGGGGTGTCAAACGACCCTCGAATGTCAGGTACCCTGCAAACATTCCTTTTGAAGAGACACATGGAAATCGATCTAAAGAGCAGTCACTGCCCAAGCAACTAAGAAGATGGGGGGGGGAGGGGATTACAGTGGAATCAGAGCAGAAGTTTAACCAGGTCTCATTCTGAAGACACTGCCCTGCTCCAAAATACCACCTAAATGGTTGTGGCCAGGAGGACCTAACCATGGCTGGGGACTGACAACCTGTCACCTTACCATTCGTAACAGTAGCAAAATTACAGCTACCAAGTAGCAACGAAAATTATTTTATGGTTGGGGGGTCACCACACGAGGAAATGTGTGAAAGGGTCCCACCATTAGGAAGGCTGAGTACTGCTGTTATAGGGACATGCAGACAGCAGCATACGATCACTTCCCTTAGAGAGTCTGCTCTTCTCACACTGACATGTCAAAAACAAGCCATTAGGCGAACTGCTGGAATAATAGAATGCCAGAAAGATGTTTTCCCCAGGCACAGTTTGAACTCGGTGCTTTAGCCTAAATCTTACCTACTTTTGTTCTTACATTAAAAGGTTAAGTTTGCCTAATTTTAAAAGCGCTGATACAGTACTTTTTATGGCATCGAATCTCATCAGTCTAGGCCGTTTTAGCTCTCCCTGGATTATCACTAAAATGCCTTTGGTGTTATATTTTCGTCTGGGAAGCAGACAAAACTTCGAGATATTCCAGCACCCACAAAATAACTCTGAATCCGTTTGGCCAATGCGATTAGGTATCTCATTGAAAAAAGAAAGAAAACAAACAATACAAAACCCTCCAAAAATTTGCTGAAGGATATTAGAAGCTGTAAGCCCCTGCTCTGTCCCCTCGCCCACAAATCCAAGAGTATTCGTTTGATTTCAGCAGTTCTGATGCCAGCGATTTGCTACAGTGGTTGGGTGAGCACAGGACCGGGCACTAAGTCAAGACGATTCATTGCAGAGGCTGGAGGAAGTCGTTCCTACCGTTCCTGGGGGTGTATGTGTGTGTGTGTGGAGGGGGGGGGGGGAGACAGACAGACACAGAAACAGAGAGAGACGGAGACACAGAGAGACAGAAACAGAGACAGAGAGACAGAGAACCTTACAGAGTGAGAGCAAAGAAATCTCAAGGGATCCACGAGCCAGCTGGGTTGTACCTAGGAGCGTGGGTGGTGGTTTAGGGGTCTTTACCTCTTTTGAGGTTTCCCAGTTACTGGAAACTGCGGACCATCAAAATTCACCCAGCAGTTGATGTTAGAGTTAGTTGGAGGGTGGGGGGTGGAGGGGTGGTGTTACACCCAGTTCGCAAGCCCCCAAAAGATCTGCAGGAATCGACTCCGTTGCAAAACACATGAGGGTCTTTTTATTGTAAATTATAAGCTGCAGCTTGGGCCCACAACACCCACCGCCAAAGGGTGGGAGCTGAGCGCCCCAGCTCAAGTTAGTTCAGTGATTTAAAGATTCTGGTCCCTCCCAGCATGCCCAAGGCAGGGGCGATTCCTGCCTGGCAAGCATCTATTGGTTAAAATGCTACATTTTGAATTGATTGGCTATAGGAAGGTCCCCAGACCATAATGACCTTGTGTTCCTCCCTAGGGGGGATGACACCTTTAATCCCAGCACTCCGGAGGCAGAGGCAGGAGGATCCCTGCAAGTTCAAGGCCAGCCCTGTCTACAGAGTGAGACCCTGTCTCAACAAACAAACAAGAGTTTGCCTTCATCCTTGGGTCGGCCCCCGAGGCTGTCTAGCGCAGGGGAGGAGGCGGGGGTGGCTGAGAGGTGGTGATTAGTCACTGGCTGCGGCGCTCACACCTTTTATCCCCAGCCTTCCAGCAGTTGCCTCTCTGTATTTGGACAGAACCCTCAGACGCCAGTCCGGACGCCAGGAAGGAGCGGGCAGCAGGGGTCTGCGAGCACCGTCTGGTGAGTTAGCACCGGGGCCGGGACGCCCCGCCCGCGCAGTAGCGCGCACGCGCGGCGCCCGGAACCCACGCTCGCCGGGGCCGCGGGCCCGCGCTCGGAAGAAGGGCGGCGGCGCGCAGGGAGCGGGGAGGCTCGGGAGGCCGGAGGGCAGGAGCCTCGAGCCGCGCGGCAGCACCGACCTGAGAGCCGCCACCGCAGCCGGGACGCGCGGTACGGGGTGCGGGGCGGCGGGGTGCGGGGGGAGGGGGACGCCAGAGGGACGCGGGCCTGAGCGACCCTCGGCTCTGCAAACTTTGTGCGGGTGCCCGGAGACCTCGGGGCGCCGGGTGGGAGAGGCTGGGATCCCCCAACCCCGGGCAGCAGGAATCAGCCTGCACCCGCGACCGGCCGCGCCAGCCAAGTACTCAACTTAAGCGTCTCTCTGTGGTGGTAGGTTGGGGTGCACAGAGCTCACACAAGGCTCTTATTTCTCCTAAGTCTCCTTGCTCTGGAGCGAAGTTGAATTGTGCTGGGCTTGGGGTCGGGGAGGAAGCCGAGCCGGGTAGCCGCCTTAGGATTGTATAACTACCTTGTATCGGAGTGCATGTTGTTGGCACCGGCTAATGTTGTGGTAACTGGGCATCTTGGAGGCAAGGGAAGGCGGGGTGCTTTACCAGTAGTCTCGCTGTCTGTGGATACTAAAAACAACGCCTTGTACTTTCCGCTCCTGAGAGCCCTAAGGCGTTTGGCTTCCACTCTCTGGGTTAGCTTGCAGTGGGGTTTCTGAGAGGTGGGTGCAGAGCTGTGCCTTCCCGTTTTGCAGAGGTAAAAACGGAGGCAAAGATTCGGACTCTTAACTGGCTTTCATGAAAGGTGGAACAAGAGTTTGAACGCAGTTTCCTGCAATTCTTGTTCCTAAGTACCAACTTCGAAGTTTAATGAAAGGTCAGTGAAAGGTCGGGGGGGGGGGCGGTCAGTGCCCCGCAGCTTGCAGGTCTCAGCTACGAAACTGCGTCCTTTGGACAAGATGCAACTTTTTCCCTTCCTAATTGCTTTTTTAACAACGGGAGACAAAGGTGTTGTGTGTATTCTTTGCAAAGCCGTGTGTGTTTAGGACTGCAATTTTGCCATTGTCTTTCGTGGACTCATAAAGGGCACTTAGTCTCTGCTCCCTTGAGAAGCAGAGAGAATGAGGCACCCCCGGAATGAGGCATCACCTCTTCCTTGCCAGGGACACCTTAAGAATTCACATCAGGTCAGATGAGGGCCGAGCATTCCCGGGAGGAGGGGGGAAGGAGCCCCACACTGGGCGGGCGGCTTGACACTCGGGCCCCAACTCCTGCCTCCAGCTCTGACTCACCTTCTGACGCTTGGGGGAGGAGAATAGCTGCTTGGTATTTTTGGCTTTCCCCCATAAAACGGGAAACAGTTGGCTTCATTTGAGTCTTCTCAGCATCCTTCTCTGCGCCGAGGGCTGAGCTGAGCCCTCCTCGGAAACCTTTGATACTGGCTGACTTGCAGGTATGCTTTCTGTTGAGATCCCTTACTAGGTCATCATACAGATTTACTTCTATCCTAAGAAATGGCTGGAGGCTCCAAGTCTGGGAAATCTCTTAAGACTTTGGGATTAAAATTAGCATCCAGAGTGAGCTCTTATTTAAGTGTATGCCTTTGCATGAGGAATTTTGTTTTAAAACAAGGGGGATTAAAAATGTTTTCCCAGCACTACAAGAAAGGCTTTACTCATTCTGTATGAAAAACTAGAACTTTACAGATGAGGTCCTTGTCTTCCTGTAATCTTCAGAAGAAAAACTATGTCCTTCTGTTGCTTTGTATCTTGTAGCTTCTTTCGAGCATTTTCACAGATGTGTATTTGCATAAGTGATTTGCTAACAAGATTATTTTAAAGTTGCCGAGTCCTGTTCATAGAAATTTGGTTTCTGTCTTGAACAGGTAGCAGGCGTGCTTTTTAAGTACAATCAATTGTAAAATTACGTTAACTCTGACAGCCCCTTAGTATTTCTCCCCCGCAACAGGCAAATGATCTCCACGCAAACAACTTGAAAGCAATTGAAGCATTATGATGAGTGGCTTTACTCTCAGGTGCAAAATGGAAACTTTCCTATTAAAACACAAACATGCCGGACCAACAGCGGTGGGGATTGTCTTTGCTCAGAGAAAACACAAGAGGGAGTGGAAGGCAGGGAGAGTTGCTAAAGCAACGAGGGCCTGGGTATAAACTTACCGAGCTGGCATTTAACGTGGTAGCTTCATTATTTATGCTCGCTTCGCTGGGACAACACAACAGAAGAGAAAGCGTTAATGGGATGGGGGATGGAGGGGTCACAGCTCAAATCGGCAAGGTCAGGAAAAGGGTTCATCTGACAGAATTCCTGTCAGCAGTGCATGGGTTTGCAGAGCAAACATTTAACAGTAGTTTTGCTGTTCTAGAGGCACTGGGCTGAGTGCTGAGGTAGGAGGCAGATGAGGGTCATGACCTTAGTCTCTGAGTTATAGTGACATTCAAAGAGGAGGTGTTCTCTCCCTGGGCTAGCCGGACTGGATGGAGTGTTTGGTAGTCAATGATGTGCTTACTTAACCTTTTAAACGTGGCTTATAAAGATAAAAGAATAAACTGAAAAGGTAACCTGATGAGTTACTTTAGAGAAAAATGTAAGTGTAATCAGAAGCCAAGAAGCAGACTCCAACTGCTTTTCTCCCCTCCTTCCCCTTCCCCTCCCCCTCCCTCCCTTCCCCTTCCCCTCCCCCTCCCTCCCTTCCCCTTCCACTTCTCCTCCTTCCCCTTCCCCTCCCTCCCTTCCCCTTCCCCTCCCCCTCCTTCCCCCTCCCCTCTCCCTTCCCCCCCCCCCTCCCTTCCCCTCCCCTCCTCCTCCCCTTCAGGACAGCCGATTACTACACTGACTTCCATGGAAATAATCTCCTTTTGTCTTCCGCTCTGAACCAGCTGTTCATTCCCCTTTTACCTTTATGCAACATTCTTACAGGCCTTCTTGTTTTTGTTTTGTTTTGTTTTGTTTTGTTTTAGGAGACAGGGTTTCTCTGTGTAGCCTTGGCTGAACTAGGCTCACTTTGTAGATAGACCAGGCTGGCTTCGAACTCAGAGATCCACCTGCCTCTGCCTCCCAAGGGCTGGGATTATAGTCAAGTGCCGCAGCACCAAGTTTAGATCTTTCTTTGGGTTGGCATCACGTATACATATATAAATAATTTGCAGATCTATAATAATTGTATAAATTCATGCACTACAGTGTTTTCAATTTTTAGTTTGTGTATTTTTGTGTCTGTTGGGGTATTGGTGTAGCACACATGTTTGTCTGTGTACCGCATCTGTGCCTGGTGCCCAGGGAGGCCAGAAGAAGGTGTCGGATCCCTAAGACTGGAGGCTGGTAAATGAACGTGGGTCCTCTACAGTAGAAGGCGGTGCCTCTGATGGCCGAACCATCATCTCTCCAGCCCCACTATGATTTTTGAAAATTCACCTACATTGTTGTCTGAGGCTGTAGCTGGTTCATTTTGGGGTGAACATAGCACAGATTATCCGTCGATGTCAAATGCTGATGAACATTCTGGGTTGTTTGTGGCCTTGGGCAATTATGACAAGCGCTGGGTCAAGTGTGATGCTAAAGTGGTTGCCTCAATTTACATTCCTTCAGGGGTGTCCACCTTGAAGTCATTGCTCACCGTGTTTGCTGCGTGACCACACTAGGCTTGGATGTTTCTTAAGTGAATAAGTGACATGGGGGGGGGGGGCTAGCCTGGTGCTGTTGTGTCATTCGCCAGTGTATTTGTGTGGAGGGTTGTTTTGCCTGCACGTAAGCTTGTACAGCACGTGCCTGCAGAGGCCAAAGGGCATCTCCTCCTTTGGAACAGAAGTCACAAATAGTTGTGAGCTGCCAGGTGGGGGCTGGGAAATGAACCAGGATCATCTGGAAGAGCAGCCGGTGTTCTTAACTATTGAGCCTCACTAATGAGACTCGGTTTACTCTTGTTAAGGTCTATGGTTTGAGCCAGGTGGTGACACACGCCTTTACTCCCAGCACTTGGGAGGCAGAGGCCAACTTGATCCACAGTGAGTTCCAGGACAGCCAGGGCTCGGCACAGAGAAACCCTGTCTCAAACCAAAGCAAACAAAGTTCTGGGGTTTGAGTTGATGGACCCGTCAAACACCAGGGACAGTTTTCCCACTGTACTTATGAAAAACGCTCGTTTCATTTGACAGTTTATAGTTGCAGAAAATTTACCTATGCAAAATGAAATACTGAAAATAGAAGTCTTTGAAGGCCTTAAGTGACTCCTACTCCTGAATGTTTACTTTGTGTCCAGCCCTAACGGTGGCACTCAGAGAGTGTGCGAAGTGGGCATAAACTCACGCATCCTTGATAAAGGACCCTGAGGACAAGGCTGCACAAACGTGTGTATGCACGTCCCTGTGGGGCACAGCATAGCCGCACACAGTGTCTGCTGCACAGGAAGACATGACGCACAATTGTCAATGTAAGCTTTTGTCTCGCGCTCTTCCTTCGTATGTTAGAATGGAGGCAATTTGTTGGGTGCTGGCGTGCCTGCGTTTGGCTTTGCTGGCTGGATTTAAAGTTAGGAATGTGTGTGGGGGTGAGGAAGGAGAGGAATGAAGTCACCACAAGACATTTCCTAAATTCTGGCCTGTACTGGGTGCCTGTTACATATCTCTCTGTCCTGAGAGTGTAGGTCTTGTGACCTCCCGGGAGACCCTTCTCCACAGCCAGAGGGATGATGAAAGAATGAGTTCAGAGCTCGTGGAAGTCTTGGTTCCTTTCTATTCCTTCTGTAAGGCATCTTAGAAGATGCTACATTGCTGTGCTTTCAGTCTTTACTTACATAGGCCACAAACTTTTTTTTTTTTTTTTTGCTTGTAACAGTTTTTTGTTTGTTTTTGTTTCGGATCTGGCTTTCAAGAAAAGATAGCCTTGAGAATAGCATTAAAGAGTATTGCCAGGAGAGAGGCCCCTTCCATGTGCTTTGATAAGCCCTTAACCCTGCAGCTGCCGCCACAGTCACTTGCCAATTACTTGCCAGTGAGGCTGGCTCAGCTCATCTGGTCACATCCGTGGTGACCCCGACAGTGAGCACTTCCTGCCCAGTTCGTCAGCTCTTTGCACCTCCTACCATCCCATAGTCTCTGTGGAGGAAAGGGCCCTTTTGAAATCCATGCCTAGTTGGGTCTCAGATTG